GGATGTGAAACAGCAGAGGTGTCTTCCTGATTATCTTTGAAAGCTGAATTAAAGTACCGGTACTTAGTGCCTAAACCAAAGCAACGTACTGAGCGAGTGTGTGACAGGCTGTACACCACTTTTAGCAACAATCCTGCAATGTCTCAACACTGTACCTAGGTGGGGAATTGAGCGAGGCCTTTGGCTAGGCAGGTGAACGCTTTAACCACGAGGCCACCCCATCACCTCAGCAAGTGACGATGGATGTCCGTGTAATGACACAATAATAAGTTACCTTCCCACCTGCCCTCTTCTGAAATGCCAGGATGGGTATGTGTACATTGATATATTAACACACAATGACATTTAGAAAGTGGTAAATGTATCAAATGTTATATTTGGGATAACACTTTCTACGTAAAGTACAGATTCTTGCACTTTTTGGGGTTGAGTCCCATCTGGGATTTGAACCCACACTGCCATAGTGAGGCACCTAATCGACAGCACACAAAGTCACCGATCTAAGCCACCCAGCCACGGAGGCTTTCACAAAAATGAAAGTCCGACAACAGGTCTCGATATGACTCAACCCCAAAAAGTACTAGAATCTGTACTTTACTAAGAAAGTGTTATCCCAAATATAACATTTTGTTAAGGACAGCTGTAGGTTAAAAACATATTTGTAGGACTACAGTCTACACTGTTGCACTCTAATGACCTCAGACAAAGCAGCAAGTTTTATCTGACACATCAACCTTCCATTGCATACCACATACCTCTCCTTATGGGTAAACACACAGGGACAACCTAATATACAGCAATAACATTCTCTGTCACATGTACACCGAGAAACACTTCAAACTTGAAAGGCAAAGGTGTGACAAGGTTTATATCAGACTACCATACAACATAAGAAATCTTTAATTATACAAAACATTACTCTCAACTAAAATAAAAAAATCAATTTTTTTCCTGATGCTGATTTGGAATAGAGCTGGCTAGACTTGCTTTTAAATAAATCTGGATAGTTTTTTGGGTCATAATCTACATACCGTATTCGACGTAATAAGCGCCCTGCTCTAATAAGCGCCCACGGCGATATTTGTTAATATATTGGCTAGTGAACAATCTCAATTAGCACCCCTTCCAATTGATTAATGTACACAAGACTTATTTATTTGAATATAATACGCACTCGTATGTTATATGCACCCTTAATTATGGGCAATTAAATTCTGGAAAAATATATCTGTCGTATATAAACATTTCAGGCTGTCAGCATAAACCACGAAATTTACGATATTTCAACTCAAAATAATATTCTAATAAGAGCCCCCTATTTCTAATGTTGAGAGCGCCCTGGGCGCCTATTACGTCGAATACGGTATATTCCACAGTTACGGTGCAGGACTAGGTTCACAGTACACGTGTAGATCTTGACAAGATTTGATACCTGTTTTAATTTGTTAGCTGGTATGTGGTTAAGTATTTAACCTTTTCTAGGTTAGGTATTTCCTGATGCTGATTTGGAATAGAGCTGGCTAAATCTGGATAGTTTTTTGGGTCATAATCTACATATATTCCACAGTTACGGTGCAGGACTAGGTTCACAGTACACGTGTAGATCTTGACAAGATTTGATACCTGTTTTAATTTGTTAGCTGGTGTGTGGTTAAGTGTTTAACCTTTTCTAGGTTAGGTATTTCTAAGTCCTTATATTTCAACTGTACTATCTGAACTACAGTGGATCACCATGCTTCTATAGAGCTCAGACCCTGAAGAGGATCCGGGTTAGAATAGGTCCCTTGCACTTTGTTGCTTGTTGTAAGAGGGGACAAATTGTATTGGGTGGTCAGGGTCAGTGACCTGGTTGGCATGCCATGCATTGTACCTTTTCAGAGTGGGGTGTTGCTCATTACCTCAATCACTGGTTTGTCTGGCTCAGACTAGATTATTTATAGGCCACTGTGACATAGCTGAACAACCAATAACATATTGGGCCAGACACACTGTATTGTTTGTTTGTTGTTTAACACCACACTCTGCAATATTCCAGCTATATGAAGGCGGTCTGTAAATAATCGAGTCTGGACCAGACAATCCAGTGATTGACATCATGAACATCGATCCACGCAATTGGGATACGATGACATGCATCAGCCAAGTCAGTGAGCCTGACCACCCGATCCCATTAGTTGCCTCTTACAACAAGCATAGTCGCCTTTCACAGCAAGCATGGGTTGCTGAAAACCTATTCTACCTCAGATCTTCACGGGTCTACTCAACTAAAGAGAGACATACAGAGGCAACATTTTAGCATGAAAGATATCATTACCTTAACTTTGTCAAATAAATCAAAAAGTGCACACTGACATATACTACTCAAACAAGTTAAAGAACACCTACAAATGGAAAACTGTGTTGCAATACCCAGTAGTGACAGATCAACTATGGTCATATGAAAAAGTTTGAGTGTTCTTAAACTTCTTCTGAGTAGGATATTTCCTTCAATTTTGAACATTTTTTGTGTTTATTTATTGTTTAATGCTGCACTCAGCAATAATCCAGCTATATGATGGCGGACCAGACAATCCAGTGATTGACATCATGAGCATCGATCCATGCAATTGGGTTATGATGACATGCATCAACCAAGTCAGCAAGCCTGAGCACCCAATCCCGTTAGTCGCCTCTTACGACAATCAGTCACCTTTTACGGGTTGCTGAAGACCTATTCTGACCCGGATCTACTAACATGAAGCAAAGGTCTATTAACGAGGTAACGAAGGGAAATCACAATTAATTCACTTTATTTTATATATTACAATACTGAGAATGTAGTTATTAAGTGTTTAAAAACAATCTTCCTAAACATTGCAACATGTATATATACGAGGCTGTGTTCCTCACTGACCATTTGGCAAGTCTTCATAACTAGAATGCGAGAATACTGAATTTGTTTTATACCCAAGAGATTTCACAATTCAAAAAATAAATTTTACACAAAAATTAAATCAGTAATTTAATTTGATACACAAAAGAAAATACACCCAAAACTCCAGGGAAATAAACTTGTGCAGGGTAAAATCATGTTCAACACACATTAGGCAGTGATAGGGAAAGAGAAAAATGCCAGAATCATCAGATGTGCCAGTGACATTTGCAGGAGTGGAGACAGCGGAGTGCTCTTTCAAGAGGACATGTGACAATGGACACCAGCCTCGGCTCCAGTGTAGGTGGAGGAGGTTGATTTTCAATATTGTAATATTGTGCAATCTGCACAAAAAGGAAGTTACTTAAAACTGAGTGGGGAAAACATGTATGACAACCTTTCTCGGGATTTCTAATTTGTGCAACATTATGTTGGAGGCTTCAATTTATGTATTTTTTAAATAATTTAATTTACATTACATTTTATAGAATATTGGAATCTGTGGTGAGGGGAGGGAAGAGAAGGATGGAGGAAGGGATGGACAGACGAGAGGGAAGGAGAGAAGAAATGTGAGGGAAGGAAAGAGGAGGAAGGGAAGAGAGAAGGGAAGAGAGAGAGAGAAAGAGAGGAGAGGGGAGAAGAGAAGAGAGAAGAGAAGAGAGAAGGGAAGAGAGAAAGAGAGAGGAGAGGGGAGAAGAGAGAAGGGAAGAGAGGGAAAGAGAGAGAGAAAGAGAGGAGAGGGGAGAAGAGAGAAGGGAAGAGAGGGAAAGAAAGAGAAAGAGAGGAGAGGGGAGAAGAGAGAGAGAGAGAGAAAGAGAGAGGAGAGGGGAGAAGAGAGAAGGGAAGAGAGAGAGAAAGATCACGAGAGAGAAAGAGAGAGGAGAGGGGAGAAGAGAGAAGGGAAGAGAGAGAGAAAGAGAGAGGAGAGGGGAGAAGAGAGAAGGGAAGAGAGAGAAAGATCACGAGAGAGAAAGAGAGAGGAGAGGGGAGAAGAGAGAAGGGAAGAGAGAGAGAAAGATCACGAGAGAGAAAGAGAGAGGAGAGGGGAGAAGAGAGAAGGGAAGAGAGAGAGAAAGAGAGAGGAGAGGGGAGAAGAGAGAAGGGAAGAGAGAGAGAGAAAGAGAGAGAAAAAGAGAGAGACAGAGAAGGGAAGAGAGAGAGAAAGAGAGAAAGAGAGAAAGAGAGAGAGAGAAAGAGAGGAGAGGGGAGAAGAGAGAAGGGAAGAGAGAGAGAGAAAGAGATAAAGAGAGGAGAGGGGAGAAGAGAGAAGGGAAGAGAGAGAGAGAGAGAAGGGAAAGGAGAGTTGGGAGGGAAGGAGAGAGAAAAGGGAGTGAGGGAGAGGAGAAAGGAGGTAAGGAGAGAATGGAGGAAGGGAAAGGGAGGGAGAGGAGAAAGGATGGAAGGAGATAATAGAGTGTGGGAGAGGTTCTTCAGAAGACATAAATATAGATTATGACAAATGTTCCACCATCTTGTTACTAGTCCGGCAGGGTTGGACACGGCAACTAGTCTGGAAATCCAAGGCAAGTGAAAACTTAACGGGACTACTGTAAACTACGGTCACTCAAAGGGACCACTAATATTAGCTTGTTATAACCGTAGTTCGTTATAAGCATACGTACAGTATATATGCAGCAAATGGCCGTGGTCAAAACATAAGTTTGTTATATTTGTAGGTTTGTTATAAGTGTGTTCATTGTAAACAGAGTTTACTGTACTGTCTTTCTCCCAAAATGTAGCTGATTTACATAAATCCCACCCCGTGAAGATTCCGAGGTAGAATAGGTCTTCGGCAACCCATGCTTGCCGTAAAAGGCAACTAACGGGATCGGGTGGTCAGGCTCGCTGACTTGGTTGATGCATGTCATTGATCCCAATTGCGGGGGTCGATGCTCATGATATCAATCACTGGATTGTCTGGTCCAGACTCGATTATTCACAGACCGCCGTCATATAGCTGGAATATTGCTGAGTGCGGCGTTAAACAACAAACCAAACAAAAAACAAACATAAATCACAAGTCCAAAAAGAGCTGCGGACTAGTTGAATATGACCAAAGGTATCTATGAGCCCTGTCCTGTTTTCTTACCATGCTCTGTGAATCCTGGCAGTCATTCAGCCAAGTCCCACATCTAATGACATCATCACCACAAAGCCAAGGATAGCACCCCAGGAAGCCAGCTTGCCGTTGCCACTAAAAATAAATAAACATAAAGTCATGATAAAACAAACATTTAGTCACAATAAAACAAACATAACGACAACCTAACTGATGGGACATTTCTGTTTACGCTTTATTAACATGTATATTATCTGGAGAGTTAATAAAGCGTATATTATCTGGAGAGGACATTTCCAGTTCAATATCCATCCTGGTAATCTGAGGAAATATATAGTTTTATAGCTTGGTGGGTGGGTGAGTGAGTGAGTGAGTGAGTGAGTGAGTGGGTGGGTGGGTGAGGTGAGTGAGTGAGTGAGTGAGTGAGTGAGTGAGTGAGTGAGTGAGTGATATGCCATTTTTGGCAATATTCCAGCAATATCAGTGTGGAAGACACTAGAAATGGGAGCATAATGAATGATAGGATTTAGAAAAAATGTGAGTCACACTGCTTTTAGCAATATTCCAGCAACATCCCAGTGGGGAACACCAGAAATAGGCTTCACACACTAAACCCATGTGGGCAATCGAACCTAGGCCTTCGGTGTTAGTGAGTGAATGAGTGAATGTTAAACCACTCGGCTACCCCAGAAAAAAAGTAAAAGTTAGGGATTATGAGCATGTTCGATTGAAAAAACGTATGAAAATCTCAAATGTATACCTTACCACAAAGAAATAATAATCATCAAAACCTCCACAAGATATACAACTACCGTATTCACCGTATAGATTGCCCTGCTCCAGGAAGTGCCCTCCCACCAACTTTTAGACCAATCCACAGGTAATCTTTTTAAGCACACTAAAATAACATGCTTACCTTAACGGAAAACACTATTATCATTGAGTCACATAGTCTGCAAAAGTTTTAGTTACATTGTTGTTTGAACAAACTTTGTTCTCTCTCATTCGGCTTTTGACATCGTCTTGTATGGTTTTAGTAAGTGTCCCACCTTTGTCAATTTTTTTACGACAAATTTGGTAACATGTTCATTTATTAAACAAGGAGTAACAACTGAATGAACTACTAATGTGTTGCAATTGTTCGTTAACAATACTTTAATAAATAAGACAGGTTAAAATATAAATTGTTGAGAGAGATGTAATGAAACGCAAAACGTAAATATCATTGAAATCTCGATAGTAATTACCAATCTTTTTTTCAATAATAAAAAATGCAAAACGTGTGTGTGTGTGGATGGGGGGGTCGCAAAAGTACTGACTGCCTATTGCACTAGGTAAGATCCTCAACAAGCAAACAAGTGATTGATAGCATGAGGAACAGCCATACCAGCGGGGCACATTAACACGCAAGTAGAACATCAACATATTTCTTCCTTTGGCCCTTGTGCAAGCTTTCATATATTATCTGCAAGATCAGGGAATGTTAGTTTCCTTCAAGATAAAATTGTGATTTCAAGCAATATCTTATGAGATGATATTTGACAGAAAAGCACTGTTCCCAAAGGGATATGAACAAGTTAACATACACCTCTCAATATCATGCGCCCTGCGAAGATTCAGGTTAGAATTTGTCTTCAGCAACCCATGCTTCAGAAGCGACTATGCTTGTTGTTAGAGGCCACTAATGGGATCGGGTGGTCAGGCTCGCTGACTTGGTTGATGCATGTCATCATATCCCAATTGTCTAGATCGATGCTCGTAATGTCAATCACTGGATTGTCTGGTCCAGACTTGATTTTTTACAGACTGCCTTCACATAGCTGGAATATCGCTGAGTGCAGTGTTCAACAATACACAAACCAAACCATTTCATGCCAAGACAATCAAAATGTCAAGTGTTAACCCCAAGGAGAGTCCAACCCCAATCATATTTTATCATGTAAACAATTTACCATAGGAAAAACACTTCGAACTGCCCATAAAAAGGCAAGTATTTCAAGCATTTGATTTGAGTGTGAACATTTCATTTTTAGTGCCCTGTTTCTGTGTGCACAGATATAGCTGAAGGCAATATTGACTCTTGACATGACACCTGTAGCTTTGTTTATTCTCATACAAAATGTCGGACACCAAGTCTTTTAACACCTGCAACCTCCAAAGTGTCCCAACCCTTTATTAACTGTCAGCACTGTCTTGTGGCCTCACTGGGAACATCTGGTACACTGTACAGCAAGGCTACTTTACGTAAGTGTAGAGGAAAGATCAAACACTCTCTAAAAAAACCCTGCAAATCTGATATCTATTGGTAATTAACATTTGAGGTCAATTTTCCAATGGAGTATGTGTGTCAGTGCCCTGAGAACTTGTAATCAGAGGTTGACACACAATATAGCATGCTTGACAAGCTGGAATGGTATTGTTACTGCCTGTTATTCACCTGTTTATTATGATGGTGCTGATAGTGGATACCTGATTTACTTTGGTTATTCATAGGTGGGGCCACAGATAAAATCATATGAGCCCCCAACTTGGAAAAATACTGTCTACATCTAGTTTCTCCACCAGCATGCCTCAAAATAAAACAGATGGATAAGAATTTATATAACACAACTGAGCCAAATGATCCTTTTGAGAATCTTTTTTTTCAGGTGCAAAATTTACTTCACACAGGTATTTGCTGTATGGCAGTTATTCCATCTGATGGATGTAGATTCTCGTCAGGTGAGTCAGTTTCACCTGTCCTATTGAGGTCAACTCGTTATCTACCTGTGGGAACCAGGTAAAAGGTGAGGGGCAAAAGGAAAGAAGCTTACACGTCACTGGAGTTGATAAGTCCTGTACGCTATTTGTGATTCAAATGTAATTTGAGATAATTTATTATCTTATTGTCAGTTGTTGCTGCCCACAAACTTTTCCTTCTGATTAAACTAGATGACATCTAAGAATGCTGGACAAATGCATATTGACATAGAAGTCAATTCCAGTCCATGCCATAAGGAAACATGGTTACATTTGACATGTATTGTCATCTTAGAACATTTATATCTTGGTTTTGAAGCTTTGATCATAGTGCAACAAATATGTTTCTGTTAGACTGACTTTTAGTCTCTGAAAAAAGCTATCTATCAATATTCATTTGTTAAATAATTGTCTTTTTTATTATAATAGATTATTACGGAAGCAGTCACGATAATTTCTTCATTTTGTGAAACAAGAAATCTAGAATTGCTAAAGTAATGTAGACTTAACAAGTCATGATTGCTGGTGAGTGTTCATGAATGGTTAGCTATGTTTGCTGGTGTGTGTTCATGCATGTGTAGCTATGATTGCTGGTGTGTGTTCATGCATGTGTAGCTATGATTGCTGGTGAGTGTTCATGCATGTGTAGCTATGATTGCTGGTGTGTGTTCATGCATGTGTAGCTATGATTGCTGGTGTGTGTTCATGCATGTGTAGCTATGATTGCTGGTGAGTGTTCATGCATGTGTAGCTATGATTGCTGGTGTGTGTTCATGCATGTGTAGCTATGATTGCTGGTGAGTGTTCATGCATGTGTAGCTATGATTGATGGCGAGTGTTCATGCATGTGTAGCTATGATTGATGGTGAGTGTTCATGCATGTGTAGCTATGTTTGCTGGTGAGTGTTCATGCATGTGTAGCTATGATTGCTGGTGAGTGTTCATGCATGTGTAGCTATGTTTGCTGGTGAGTGTTCATGCATGTGTAGCTATGATTGCTGGTGTGTTCATGCATGTGTAGCTATGATTGATGGTGTGTTCATGAATTGTAGCTATGATTGATGTTGTGGGTTCATGCATGTGTAGCTAACATTGCTGGTGAGTGTTCATGAATGTGTAGCTATGATTGCTGGTGTGGGTTCATACATGTATAGCTATGATTGCTGGTGAGTGTTCATGAATGTGTAGCTATGATTGCTGGTGAGTGTTCATGAATGTGTAGCTATGATTGCTGGTGAGTGTTCATGAATGTGTAGCTATGATTGCTGGTGAGTGTTCATGAATGTGTAGCTATGATTGCTGGTGAGTGTTCATGAATGTGTAGCTATGATTGCTGGTGAGTGTTCACGAATGTGTAGCTATGATTGCTGGTGTGGGTTATGCATGTGTAGCTATGATTGCTGGTGAGTGTTCATGAATGTGTAGCTATGATTGCTGGTGAGTGTTCATGAATGTGTAGCTATGATTGCTGGTGTGGGTTCATGCATGTGTAGCTATGATTGCTGGTGTGGGTTCATGCATGTGTAACTGCAAATGGGACAAGCATGAGGAGGCAAATGTTTTCAGTCATGATGTGCAAAGGAAATAAAGTTCATAATTGCAAAAATAAGACCCAACAATCTTTGTAAAGAATGAAAGATTTCTTATGTCATGATTTTGCAGCAAATGTTCATCAGCAACATTTATACAACACATATTTATCTGTCAGTGGAGTTTATATCCCTTTGTGTAAACACTCCTATTTGTGAACTGATTCTCAGTGGTACCAGAGGAACATTTCTGTTCTGAAGATGTGCATTATACAGTCCTATTTAGTAAAAAAACATTCCAGAAATGTGCTTTTCAAAAGATGAACATCAATTCTGTTGTTAACTCGAAAATTTACACAAAACAAAGAATAATAAAACACTGCTCCACTTTTTCCGTTCCATGATACACAAAACTGATTCAATAATAAGTCAGGTGTATATTTAAATAGAATCAAATATCAGATTATCCCTATCAAAAATTGAGTAGTGTATTAAATATTACATCATGTTATATACCTTGTTCTCTAACATCTCCTCATTCTAAACACAAGCCAGCTTAAGACATCAGTAATACATCAGCTAGCAGTGGTTCAAACTGTCCGTCCAAACATAGATAATATACTACTCAACTTTTGATAGGGATTTTAAAAATCTTTCCATGATACACAAAACTGATTCTCATAATATGTCGTCTATATTACGATAGATTGACACATCTGATTCTCATAATATGCCGTCTATATTACGATAGATTGACACATCTGATTCTCATAATATGCCGTCTATATTACGATAGATTGACACATCTGATTCTCATAATATGCCGTCTATATTACGATAGATTGACACATCTGATTCTCATAATAT